AAGTTTCAGCAAAAAAGCCTCACTATGCGAATTTTGTGCGGAGCACTTTCTCAAACGATCAATTATTATTGATACTTTTTGTTGTGTTAACCACCCATGATCCAAAAAAGTACCGCATTTTGTTGCTTTTCTAATATAAGTTTTTGTTGAACAAAGGCGATAATGTATAGTTGCTGTCCAACCAAAGTTGGTGCTTAGGCCCTTTGCGTTTTTAAAGTTCAGAACTTTCGAGTTATGAAATGTAAGTCAGAATTAGGGTTGCATCACGCATGTATATAATCTGTGCAATGTCTAACAGCTATATAAATAATCTGACACACAACTTGTCTTCGTGCGGATGGTGGAAACTTTTTTGATAACAAATTTTTAATTTGGCTTTTATGTTTTTTATGTCTTACTAACCTATCATAGCACATTTTATATCTGTGATACGCGAGCATAAAGTACCACTTTATGCCCTAGGGCATTAAGTATCACCATAGTAACTAATTTATACTTAATGACAAAACAAACAAATATTTGCAGGTCATTGAAAATTAGAAACGTCAATTATTAATTGTCAATACTACTAAATCACAAGATTGGCCTTATTTCGAATAGTTTCTGGAACTTCTTCCTCATTAATGATGAATTGAATTATTTAAAATTACGTTTGACGTTTGAATGGTTTCAATCATATTAACAAATTCGAACCACGCATACTTGATCAAACATAATGAATTATTTTGTAAACGAATATTTACTTTGACGAAGAAAACTATTTGTAAGGCATAAAATTTTGTATGTACCACGGGCATAAACTGATGTTTATATTCTCGGGCGACTAAAAAGCTCTCGGGCCATAGGCCCTCGAGCTTTTTAACTCGTCGCCCTCGAGAATATAAACATCACTATTATGCCCTTAATCATGGGCGTACGCAGCTTTTGGTCTAGGGCGGGGCAAAAAATAAAATTGGCGGAAAAAAAATGTTTAATGAAACACATAATGTACATTTTTATTTTTAGTAGGTAATAGTTACTAAAAACGTCTTCAAAAATTATTATATCTCAAAATATTAGTTATTACCGCTTTTGTATCAATTAATTTTGTATTAAATATGCAAAAAAAACACGAGGCGAAAATAGATAGGTAGATATAAAGGTCATTTCGGTATATCGGTAGTATTTTAGGCAAATCGGTAGAGCTACCGAAAAATCGGTAGACGGAACATCACTGGCTGACCACTGCACAGTTGTATGTGTTAACGCGCGATTAGTGAACGATAATTTCGCTCAGCCCTCTTTTATTGCTTAAATCTCAAAGGAAAAGGTTTTGAATTAGAAGCCAACAAAGACAATTCTTACAGATATTTTTTATAAAACGTAACCTGTGGCAGGCCAGAGGGGGGCAGCTGCCCCCCCTTGCCCCTCCCTGCGTACGCCCATGCCCTTAATACATAAATAACTATTATGTACTAAACTGAAAACCATATAATTTATTTCTAAGGAAATTTGCACTTAAGAACATAGCAATATTCAATTGCAGGGGTTGTAATTTTTACAAGAAATACCCCAATCGCCATCTAAAATTAAAATCTCTTCCCGCTTTACAAATTCGTGATCTTTATTCGCCCTTTTATGCCTATTATGTTTAAAGGACCTACAAGTGACCATCCAATAACCTAACCGCGTAATCATTTAAAATACTGGTACCTTATCGTCACACAAATACATTTCACTACCCTATCTCTCGAACTGCGATCTTGTTTAGTTCACTTATTATTACAATTTGCTATTACAGTAGTTTACCTGCATATTTTACAATGACATTTTCGTACTTTTCTCTCTTGTTTTGTAATATTTTTATCTCGATTTTTATAATAACTAAGTAAGTGTATACTTTATATTTAATTTATTCTTTGTGAATCGCTATTCAGTTCCATTGTACATTTTTCTCAGTCTTTTTGATCTTTTACAATATACTTTTATTTTTCTTATGTTTTAGGCAAATGTACACTGCCTTTATTTAGTACACGAGTACATTTCCCTGTTATTAGAATACCTATAACTGTTGGACAATTAATTATTTTTTAAAATTTAATCAGGTGCTAAGGGTAACACCACCTACACTTACAGTTTAAAGCAATGGACTTGGTATTTAAAGATTTATTATTAAAAATATCTTGTTACAAAGTGTAATGTATCTTACTTTGTGGAGGTGATCACATTCAGTATTTACTGTGACAAGCAGGCTCATATAAAAAATTTGGCAATAGGAAGTCTATTCGTTTTATTTTTTAATAAAATCCGCATTGGCCCATACTTGCGTACCCACAGACATTATAGGTACTTTTTACGCACGCACTCCCTATCACATCAAAAAAATGACTCAAAGACAATTAAACGAATCGTTAGAAGACTATACCGAATTTTAGCGTTATGGAATAAGTGGACGGGTGGTATTGTAATGTGTGCAATTTGTATGCATACAATTTCCGGTATAGGCGGGTGTTATTAAGATTATCACATTTTACGAAAACCCTCTCATCATCACAAATAGTTTCATCTGATTTTTGATGGGCTCGGCTCCGTTCACACAGACACATACAATTTTCAGTAGGGGAATGTTTTGAGACTCAGTTCGCATTCAGAAACACGACTTTTAATCCGGCTCATGTTCAAAAGCACTAATCCTTGAACTACGATTGCGGAAGGTTCGACATCGCTGATAATAAAAATTGTTTGTTCTTATTCGCAGATGTCTAATGTGCAATGTCAGTGGAAGAATGGTGCAGCCAGTGGCGCCGCCAGGGGGTGGGCTGGGTGTTGCTCGACATACTCTTGAAAAAATGATAATGACGCTTTCATGAGCAGATTACGAATTGCGCCGTGAATGCGGGCCGAGGATCGTTTCACTTCTTACCCTTTTCTCCAAATTTTCAATTAAAGTTTTGTTTCATTTTCATTATGAAGATCTCGTAAACTCCCTGCCATTCTCCCTACGACTCTACTTGAAAGTGACATATATCATACAATTATGTTGAAGTGAAAATTGGTAATTTAGCTAACTGAAAACAAAACGCGCAAGTGTGATTTGCTTTTTCATAAGATCTACCAAGAAAGCAAATCGAATTTTCCGTTTTTCTTTCAACCTATGGTCGAAATATTCAATGTTTGGCAGTACCTTGTCAAATCAACATTTATTTATAAATCGAAAAACCCTGCTGAAAAAAATCTGATGGTTACCGACCCAGTCAAAACAGTAACGTCTCCAAACGACAAGTAATTCTTTGCTAAGGTAATTATAAGAGTAGTTCCTTAAAGAGAAATTAAATCTACTTCGTATCTTTGGATAGTTTTTGTAGTTGGGGTCAGTGGAAACATCCCACAATAGCTACACATACATATCTAAAATTAAATACTCCGCATTTATACACAGGGCACTGATTTCGTAGGTCGTCTGCTATATGCTGTATGCAGGTGGGGACCATTACTGCACTTAAGCGTCATGGAGGAAATGTTCAAGGGAAGAGAACATGGACGACTAAAAATGAATTAGTCTGGTTCAAAAATGTCCAGAACTGCCCTAGAAAATTAATTTATTCACAACATTTTTCAAATGACGTGCTGAAATATTGAAAACAATTCCGTTCGACCTTCTTTAGGCATCATTGATAAAGTTCTCCTAGATTGTCTCGCATGAAAGTAATTGGATGACCCGCACCATTCGCCTGTCTCTTCCAATTTCTTCCAATACGCCATTAGAATAACTTCTTTCTCATAACGACTGTCCTCCATGGTATTGAGAATTAAACTAAACACGAAGTCATTGCCAAATCTGACGGAGCCGGATTGACAAGTGTGCGTTAGCCTCAACAGTCGCCGGCCGTCGGCGTGACGGAACGGATAAGTGTGCGACAACCTTAAGCTGTTTATATTGAAAAAAATGTTTTTTGCTAGTGGATGAATTCGTTTTAAAATTACTTGTAAAAAAGCAATTTAAAACGACGCAAGCACAAAAACCACAACAAACAATAGTCTACATATTTACTCCATACACATTTGGAAACCTTTCTACGTATGCTGAAAACTTCGAGTATATGTTCGAACCCCAAGGGTCGTGATACGAGCATTTAAGCTTGAAATTTGAATAGTCAACTGTCATGTTTCTATATCTTCCAGCCAAACTGAATAAATCACTCGTGCACTGATCCTTTTAGATTCAGGGCTTAAATGTGTCAAAAAATGAGCGTCAGATTTCAAATTTGAGCTGTCAACCAAAGTGTTATATTTGAACATGGAAACTTAAAGGTTAATTTATAAACTTCATAGTTAAATAATAGAAAATCGGATCCCTCAAAAAGTATAGGTATTTTGGATAATTAGGACTCATTTTGTAACTTGGCTTTGCATAGACAACGCTTCTATGCCAAACGTTTATGGTAGTCAATGTTGCTAGAGGAAAATGAAAAAAATCCATTCAGGGCGCATCTTATTTTTACATTATGCAAACACGAAGGCCGAACCTTCAAACTTAATCCATGCCAAAATAAGATCAATTGAAATGGCAAAAGGCATCGTACTTGGAGTCGATTTGTGAGAAGTTTCCGTCACATTAATCCACAATCGTCTAAAATTATTTAAGTGCTAAACGTATAAAAATCGTCTGGAAAGAGAAAGAAAAATGGATTTGGTTAAGGTCGTAAAAACACGGTTGTAAAGTAAAAATCGCCATAAACAATTTCTAAGATATAATAAAACTGTATAGCCGCCAAAGCAAACAGAAGAACGAACAAATAAAAAGTCCATTCGTGTCTCGTGATTCAATGGTCGCGGCGAGGGCAGCAACAGGAATTCGAAGAGCAGGTAGATTTGCCCCAGGTTAACTAGGAAACCCTCCCGCAGGGTACACGAGTTTACTGTACTTTCAACGTGGTACCACGACCCGGTTAATATTTATTTACCATTCCTTAAGTTTTTTTTCTTGCTATATGTTAATAAACGAATTTGAAAAGTCATACCTCGGCGTCATCGTCGGTGCCGTTTTCGGGATTTTGGTCCTCATCCATCAACACGAAAGTTACATCGTTGTTGTTATTGGGTTTAATATCAACAGAGGTGCCATGACCATCGCTACGTTCAACATCATCGGTAATAATATCGTTTGGATCACTCAAAACGAGACGGCGTCGCTTTGTGCGCGAATTTAGAAGGTCCACGGTCAATTGATCGCTGGAAATCGAATCTGGCGAATCTGGATTGTTGTCCATCGTAAAAATATGACACTTAAATTAACAAAGGCACATTCTTATGGCTAGAACTTGACTAGTAAGAAAGCTCGAGGCAAACTGTCGACTATGCCGCAAGCAGTTGACCATTGGCGGGGCAGAAAACAACTTCGAATGTATCTCCACCTCCCCTTCTCCTCGCCGACCAACTCACCTGTTTAACACCGACCACCTTGTTACATAACCTACAGGTTTTATTCAAAATCTTGTACGCTTCGAATCAGATCATTTGAAATTTTTTTGTCATCGACCCATTCGTATTTAAATCAAACCGCGCGCCATGTCAAATGTCAAAATTACCAGGGGTTTCGCCTACCTACGTTTGGAATGTTACGTATTCCGATCACGCTTGTAATTTTTACGTTTTATTTCATTTTTATACCGGTAGTCCTTTCAAAATGTACCCTATTTGCATAATTAGAGGTTGTCTCTTCTACATACTTTATTACAAAATTTTTGGACCGCGTATAGCCAATTATTGGAAAAGAATTTTGGTCTCAAAATTACGGTTTAATTAGTGTCGCAATTCGCAATAAACGTCGTTCGTTGTAAATTGCCGACTGTCATAAATTAGTAGAACCAAATTTGAACATTTTCAAAAATACACTTTCATAATAAGTATTAAAACAAATGTTCACTTTTCCGGACCAGTCACCCTCTAATAAACGTTTTTATTATAAAACCGGTTAGAGCAACGATTTAGTGTAATTTTAATACACGTTTTTTTAGGGTATTAGACACTGTTCATGAATTTGTTAATTGGGTCCACCTGAGATGGGCAAATTCAGTAATCCCTAGCATTACGAGTTTCTTCCAAATGATACTTACACAATGTAATATTTTTCATCATCATTACAATGCCAGTGTACCCATAATCATAAATTAGAACCTAATACAATTTGTCTTTATTCTGTGTGGTAATTTTTTTATTTAAAAATTCATTTAGTATAATCAAGGGTTTAAAGTTTAATGTATGATCAGACCATTAATTTTACAGGAATCTCCAGGCGAATTAGATTGTAATGTTGTATGAATAATGTGTTATTAAAGTTGGTTTTGCTTTACGGTCGTTTATCAAATGCAAACGAAATATCTGATTAGGAGGAAGTGCATTTTCAGAATCAAATGAATACAAAAAATAGACGAAACGTTCATTGGGTGAATGCTGATCAAGATACGTTTGTAGTGTGCAAGGTGTCCATTTAAGATTGAGATCTCGAGACTTTAAGAGCTACTTGCCAACTGTTAAAACAAACGATTATTTTTTCTAGCTCTTAATTTTCAGAATAATTGAATAGAATTCTAATTTTTCATTTTACGAAAAACTAGTAGAAATTGCCGGTAACCGACTTATGATTATTATTCGAACGCTATTTGAGTATGAGACTTAAATTTTACTTTCAACTTTAGTGCGGAATACCAAATTACTTTCTTCTTATGGAAGTTAATTTGCAGCCGTTTGTATTTTTCAATATAGAATTAGCGTCCTAGGGTAGTAATTTAAAAACTGCACAATTTGGTATTTTAGTCAAAAGGTAATAGAATACCAAAGTGTCGTATATTTTAATCAGATAAAGATTTTTATTGAAGTATTCGTAACAGCCATAAGGTGTTCAAAACTAAAGGCGTTAGCCCAAAAATTCGGCTTGAAATTTAGTAACAGTTTAACCACCATCGTAGCTTTTTAGATAAATGAGACCCAATGGAAACTATCTATGTGGTATAATTGATTTTAAATTAAAGTGCAAGTTTGGTACATGGTGTGACTTTTAGACGTAAAGATAATAATTTTCGGATTTTAATACTTAATAGCTAATGCGAGACATTCCATTGATTCTAACACCTACTCATTTGATGCATAAATTTCTAGTAATTACATTTTGCTAATGAGTAACGTTCATCGCGTTAATGAAATTTATAATTTACCGACATTGTTAGAGTAATAGCAGTTTGATGGAGGCGACATTTTTCAAATATCGTATTTAACTTCAAAACAATTTTTCACTGATTTTTTCAAGAAATCTGAAAGTGAGGAAAAGGAACGCAAAAATCTTGCTTTATCGTGCCATTAGGGGCAGCGAAAACGCTATCTTTCTTTATTTTTTTAGGAAGCCTTATGTGATAGTTTTGTCCGTCCGTCCGTCTATCTGTCTGTCTGCCGTGTTTCCGAATACGATCTGAGTTAAAAAAAATCCCCTACTGCACATCGTATGCGATTCTTCGTATCTTTTAATAAATTTTCTTTGATTGGGCAGTGCGTAAAATATTATTATTATTATTATACCTAAATAAAAGAAAAATTAGAAAAACAATTAAGGCTTCACCATCCAATGGGGTGCAGTTCAAATAGGGCATATGGCCACGCATCTGCTCTTCCTTCTAAAATTTCTAAACAAAGTGGAATGAACTAACTATACCAGATCGGCCTTTTGTGTGTCAAATTACTACCATAGAAGTTAGAAACATTAGATTAGTAAAATTGAAGATTGTAGGAAGATTCTCCCTCGAACACTCGCCCCGGAATATTCTCCTCTAAGAAAACTAGCCCTGAGGAAAATCACCGCGGAATGTTCGCCCTTAAAAATTCACCTTCAAAGGATTGGCCCCCTGAATTTTTACCTTGAACACAAAAGTGGTCAAGCCGCCAAAAATGTTTGTGATGAATTGATGATTCTTTGCTAATAATATTATATTGTTTACAAAGGACGAGAAAGTGAGTTTTCGCTGACAACTCAGAAGTTTTACGTACAAGGCGTTAGCTAAATGAACCTAAAATTTTTAAAATGGTACAGTAGCCCTGGCTTTATTTGGATAATCTCTTGTTTTTAGTAGTTTGACAGTTGGCATTTGAATTTGTATCTTGTGTTTTCCGGAGATAATGAAAATTATGAAATGATAACAGCCTGTAGATCGGTAACGAAACGATCACGGACCTATGTTTATATAAACTTTTAGCCATAAAATAAGCCAAAAATTATTCCCTTCCATATGTACATCATATTTAGGAACACCCTGTATAATATGCTACTAAAACAACGAAACGTTCAACTGCCTAGTCATTGTTTAGATCTGAAGATGCATTAAACCATCAAAAGAGTTTACTTCTAGTCTCCATGAATAATTCGGTATATTCCCCTAAAATATGATTTACGCTGCTCTGGAAAGGTTCACCTCCTGATGATGCTCATCTCCAAGAAAAATCTTCCTCGTCATAATATTCGTCTCCTAGGAAACCTACTCTAAGAAACATTCACGTTTGTGTAATGTTAAACAGATCTAAAAGGAAGGACATTTATTCACTACGACCCAGAAACAGAGTCAAACTTAATGCCAAAGAAAAAGAACTGTACTAATTACATTCTCTCCATGGGACGAATCTTCCTTGAAAGCATGTTCCTCAAGGAACGCATTTTTTTGTGACGATGTACTTTTTATAGATTTGATCGTTAACTTTCCGAAATATTCCACGCTGAGAAAAAAATGTTTTAAAACCCACTCGTGGGTGTTGCCGCGTAACACAACTGTAAATGCTGAGTAACCATAGCCGATATCAATTAGCGAAAACCCGAAGTCTCTAAGTGGCCCAGGAGCAGACATCTCGATGGAACAGACAGACAAACAGATAGACGACGGAAAATCGAGCACAATGGAAAGAGTGAATTTTGATCTTTAGGCCAGGCTATTTTGGAAACTACACCGCGCTAAAAGATAACGAAATTAAAGAAAAATTCCCTCATTAAACCTAAAATTGACGCGCTGAACATTTTTCGAAAATTACTCATCAAAAGCAACTGTTTTTAAACGTCTTTAATGCACCACCCCGGATTTTTATTCGCGGTCAGATTGTATTTTTATCGAGGAAGCTCTAGAATAGTTTCATTAACGATCCTCAAGATCGTTTATAATTTTGTATTGGCGTCTGTCTGTCCGTGTGCACGATAACTTGGTTTAGATCACTTTGAAAATTGATAGGTACCTACACATGTTCTTTAAAAGGGAATACTTCATTTCGTTTTGTCGCCTTAAAAGTTCGATTCATAAGGTAATCTGTCACGGAAAAATATCTCTGAACATTTGACACAGGAAAATTTTGCTACAGAGAATTGACGCTGAAAATTTTGACACCAGAAAATACTGCATCTTAGTAAAGTAATCGCGTTTCAATACACTGAGGAAATAGAACGGTGTCATTAATTCTATCGCTGAAATGGACCATCATAGTCCTAGCACGCTTTTTTGCGACCTATACTTTTTGAATGGGGCCGTTATGTAAAATAGTCACAATTTTCACTAGGGCAATGATAATCGGCACCTTTTAAAAGGAATTTGGAAAAAGTTATAGGACCTTTCTTTAGAATAATTGAGACGAGTATCATTAATGAGCTGGTAGAATCATGTATTACGCATGTGGAGTTGCCCTTGAAAAATTTTTAGGGGTGATAGTATGGAGATTGTTTTCATAACCTCCCCTCGAGCATTTCTTGATACTATTCTTCGGATGTCCCTACTGCTCACTTTTAAATAAAAGTGAGATGAAAACCGATAGTGAATGAGTTGGCGAAAATGCTACCGTCGCTACCGAGAATTGAATTATTCTGGCCCAAAAAAAGCTGTTTATCTTGCTTTTGAATTTAAAGACTTAGAAGGAATTTTTGTAAATGGAAATTGACTTTCTGTAAAATTTTAAAAAATCGTTTGTCATTTATAACATTGAATTCTAAGTTTAAAGACAACTTTCATATAATGTCATCTAATGTCTAATTCACAGCTCAACTTTCGAACCATAACCTACAAAAGATTAGACAAATGATTTCCAAAATTCCGACCTCATAGTTAGCCCACTTGTAAATAGGGGTGGAAAAGAAGTCTGATTTCCAACGAATTTGGTATTTGAACTACTTGAAGAATATTCCATTTTACTGTTTAAGCACTCGAGGAAAAAATGATTTTAATTGTTATTACAGACAGTAATTATAAAGGGGAAGTGAACACCACACAAAGTGCTAGGATTCGAGGTAAGGGGGTGGATAGATCACAAAGAAGGTATTTTAGCCCATTTTCCAACGAAGTTGGTTGC